GAAATTACTTTGTTGATTCAGATTTTACATACATATGATATAACCATACTACCCAGTAAGTACAAACAACTCAAAACAAACTCAACATAACAACATGCTAGAGTATTTAAATGCAGCATACATGTTAATGGACCAGTATTAATGATGCTGCATTATAATATAGTTTATAATAATATATATCACTCTGACAGGTGCCATTCTGCATGAGAAGTGTTACTTTCTATACTTAGATACATTTGGCTGGTAATACTGTACTTTAATATTCCGAATGAGACTTGGTATTTTTCAGTGTTGTGGTAGTGCTACTCTACAGGACCGGATCTGAATACCTCCCCCACCACTGCAGTTCAGTAGAAAATCATAACCAACAAAAAAAAAAAAAAAAAAAAAAATTCAGGCCTAATCGTGGTAATCTGATTGAACAACATGACATCATTGAATTTGAAGTCTTTGAAGTGATGCATCTTACCTCACAGGCTTCTCTATGGATTCTATAGATGGCCAGCTCTTCCTCTGTGAAGTTTCTTGCGCCCCCCACGCTGCTGCTTGTCCCCGCGTCTCTGCAGTCTGCTTCACTCCTGTCTGCATTGATCTGTAACACGCTGCTGCTGCTGCTGCTCCTCAGTCGCTTCGAGCTTTCTTCTGAGAGCATCGGTATTGACATCGCTACAAGTCGCTTATTACACTGGACGTGGAGAAGAATCAATCTCCGGACAAACGCTTTACTCGGGTGATTTTGGTGAAACATGCTCCTGTAAAACTTCTAGTTTAAAATGTGTGGTGAAAGTTCTCACTCAAGAAAATCACTGTAAGATTTCTCCTCGCCTTGCAATGTTGTGAAAACACACCATCTCTTCATTAAGTACGGTGACAATGGATCAAAGATGGTCTATGTTGCACGTTTAAAATTTGCCTCTTCCTCTCAGTTTGGTTAAGCCCGCACAGAAGTCGGTTCTACTTCCTCATTTGCCCTCGTCACATCGGTGACATGTGACCATCTCATAACACTGATCCACTGGTTCACACAGCGCCCCTGCTGTTTCAAAGCAGCCACTAAGGATTCCCTGGTGATAAGAAGGTAACTGCACTTCACTGAAGGATACATTGCAAAAAAAAAAGAAAAAGAAGAACTCATCAAAAAACAGTATAGATTAATTATCACTGCATTCTTACATGTTATTATGCCACTAAAGTGACAGAGAATGAACTAATGTGTCACGGATCAGCAAAAAAGATAACAACCGCCAACAGAGACAAAAATCCAAACCCTCAGTAACCCATTCATTGATGCTTTTTTTTCTTAGAAGAAATGTTACACCCACATAGAAATGATATTATAATTATAGGATCAGTTAACTAAAATAAAAAAAAAACAAAAAAAACAAAACAAAAAAACACTATTGTCACTTATCCAGTTGTAGCCTATGTAGTGTTGGTTTTATTTTTTCAGTCTTGGAACTGGTGATTCCTGCCACCAGTGCAAGACTGTAGGGGTGAATAGAATTTCATTTGTGTTGTTCATAGCTTGAAAAATTACATTTAAAAAAAACCAAGAACAACATAATCTTTTCAAAACATAATCTATAGATCAAGCTATGGACAGTTTCAAACTACTTACAGTACTACCAAAAGAAACAGTGTTATGTGGCCCTTTAACATGATGTATGTAACATTTTGCCAGTCATATTATTCTATATGTGTGTAAGTGGTGAAGCAGGCAGGTAAATCTCCACTATCCTTACTGTATAAATGCTTGGATTTGCTCTCCTTGACTGCAGTAGAGTGCAAACAAAGACATCTTCCCATGATAATAAAGTAATATGGGGACTTGGAGTAAGCACTGCAAGGTTGATGAGTGGACATTAATGAGTCCGTTCAAGGTTATCCACCGCTGTAAGCCACCTCTGATGATGTGTCTACTCCAGAATTCTGGGTAATGAAACCTGACAAGTGTCTTTTGACTGACATTGTGGGGTCAATTTACCCTCAGACAAATTACACATCACTGATAAAAATATTTATGCAGATCTACTATGGGAAGCACGGTGGACATTTAAAAAAAGCAGTAGTTGTATATCTTTTCCTTTTCTATTAAAAGTAGATTACTCAACCTTTCTGTACGTGGCAATTTTGCAATTCAAGTGCTCAACTTACGCTGCAAAAAACACTGATAATGTGGATAAAATGAATGTTTTATAAATTACATTGTCCTAGAATGCAATGCAAGAATTTGTGTTAACTCTGCTGCAGACTGCATTAATCCGAGGCTGACTTTCCCAAAATGAACCTTTTGTTGTGTATTTTCTTATAGGTTACATTTCATTTCAGGAAGAAAAAACATGTCCAACTCAGCCATTGGTCAAATGATTGAAGCCCTTCTGGAATATATCTTCCTAGCCTGAGAAGTATATACAAACTGTATTGTCATTTTTTCAGTGTTTACTGTCCCTTGAAATGTGAAACCTCACTGGTCTGCAGTACCCAAAACTCATAAGAGCTTCATGTACATGTCTCTTTGTGTGTGTATATGTCTGTCATATTATCTTTTTTTGTTATGTTAAGGCAGCAGCCCTGCCATTATCATTTCATACGGATGCCTGAAACAGCATGCCCCAGTCTGCTGCCACTTAATTACCTTCCAGTCAGCCTGAAGACATCTGGCTCTGATCCAGACAGGCTCTCTGGAGAGGAGAGAGAAGTACATCTGAGCTATTGGTTTCCATTTACCATGGGACAAATATTGCTTAAACATGAGATTCAATGCAAACATTAAAAGGAAAGTCCACACTAAAACAGAATTCAGATGGCACTGGAACACAGTGATTGTGGGAAGGAAAATCACCAGTTACAAAGAGACAAATATCTCCCTCAAGATGGAAATTAGAGCCTTTAAATATTAATTGATTATGTCATCAGGTGTCACTTTAGGGAGTTGGTCCACTGACGAATTAAAAATTGACTCTGTTGGCTCTGTTTGCTTTATTATACCCAAATTAGATTAAAATGAATGGCTTTACAGTTTACAGCAGTGAATCTCAGCGTGTGTCCGTGAAACAAGGACCTGCCCCCTTTCAAATTAAAATGCGCTGTGATGTGATAGAAAGTAATAAAAAGGATATTTATTTTAGGGTGGATTTCCCCTTTAAGAGACCAGTGACTCAGCTGATTCATGATCAACGTGTTAATGTAGAGTTCTGGAGCAGATTTGAATGTACAGTATACAGTAGGATGACTTCATACATTGTTCACACAGACAGTGTAACTCAGTTATGCATTGCAACCTCAGCATTTATTTCATGCATGGACAACTTTAGTCAAACATGGTTACTGTAAGTAACATATGCTCATGACACACTGTAATTATGCAGGGGAAAGTCAAGTAATCATGCCAGTCTCCACCAGTCCACTGCTGTGCACAACATTTGGATTTGTTGGCCTCTGAGCAGTTCCTCTGTTCAGGGTTCAAGGCCTTGCTAAAGGGCACTTCATTGATGGTAATGAGGGAGGGGCAAGCACTGCTGTTTTACCTTCCCCACTCAGACCAAGTTGATAAACTTCTAGCCTCAAGTTTGCTTCTCAAACCTTTCAGGCCACCAATAATAAAAGGTTTGAAAAGCTGAAAAATGTTAAAGCGCTGATATCAATGTCCCAAACCCCAACTAATACAATGAATTTGAATCCACAATTCTGGTCAAATGTCTCTTTACACAATCTGTATGACACATCTCATCACATGTGACCCATAAAATGTGTCCCTGGCCAGATTAACCTATTAGAGACAAAATATATACCGATACCTTTGGGGCCCTATTGACACCCCAGAACCTACTTGCTGCCCTCTGCAAACTGTGGATGAACCCTGTTTTGTCAGTTTCCCTAAAGTACAGTACACACAGCAAACACCTCGTGGCTACAGCACACTATTTATCCAGAGACTCAGAGGACTCCTGAGCTGGAATAATATTAGATTGTCTGTGTGTCAAGATTAAACACACCTTCATGTAGGAATATGCTTCATGTGAGTACAATATCAAACATAATAATACAGGGATAATTGACACAGGGACCTTCTGAAAAAAAGGGGGCCACAAAATTGAGGCAAGACTGAGTTGATCCTTTTTAAATCAGTTTGCATATTATCAAATACAAGTGACTTTCAGTCTGGGACTTGGGCCTCTTAGTGGTTCGGGGCTCCTGTATAGTTGTTTGCTTTCCCCAGTAGAAAATTCAGTCCTATTTCACCAATATTGTTACACTGAGTTTCATACAAAACTTTCAAGTATTTTTTTCTATTTTCACTCAATATACTTCTGTGGAATAAAGCACTGGGGGACCTAGAGCTGCTCCAGTCAGTGTTTTATGTTAGCAAATCAAACAACTGTGTATCGTGTAAAAGAGGTCACTTATATTGACAAATCCACAGAGAACTTTTATCTGACTTACTATGTGTCAAGTAATTAACACAAAGGAAATCTCAGACAAGGTCGTAATATTCCTTCATGGGAGGCATAAACTCAAAAATATTTGCTATCATACAAAAGTGGAAATGTAGCAACTATTAACATTTTTGATTAAAATGAAAAAAAAAATCAGTTATCGCAATTAGTCGGTTGGTTTCTGTGTCTGGGAAAATGATAACACATGAAGACATAAAGTGGGGGTTAATATGGGCCAATTATTATTATTTGTTATAGTGTCCCCATTTAGGTGCATGGTTCTATGAAAGCAGACTGAGGTTCATCAATTAAAAACTGCTACAATTATTGAAGTAATAATACAGTCTCACCGGGACACCATTTTTCATCAGAAGCATGAGTAACGCTGCTCAGGTCTGTGTGCATCATACCTGTTACTCATATTAAGTGGAAGGAAGACGCTCGCAGGCAGTCAGAGGTGCTCGTCTGAGTCGCTGACGTCACCAAATCTTTGACAGCACTTCCTGGAGTGGTGTTTGTTGTGGGAAATAACCACCGTGGTGTTGGACCTCGGGGAGGTGGGGATAGAGATTCAGGCCACATTAAGAGCAAGAAGGACGGCACAAACTACTACACTATCCCACCTCCTAGCATGCGGTCGCGGCAGCTTTCGACCGGTATCAGATAAAGCAGGAGAAGTGACGGCTGAGACATAGGAAGGACGAGGTGGATATTAACGGACAGCCAGCACAGCAGAGCCGCCGACAGCTCGGAGCTGTCGCGATGTTGTAGCTAAACCATGGACAGCAGAATAAAGTAAGATGTCCGAGTTTTATATGTTTCCCCCCCCCCTCCTCTATCTCTTCTTGATATCCAACTGTCGAGCTAACGGCTAAAGTGTGGCTCAGGCATGCAACGTTAGGCTAACTCGGACCTGAACGTGAAATACGAAGGAATGTTTGGCGTAATTTGAGCCATCATCTCCAGCAGTGGATTTAACTGCCAAGGCCAGCTGGCTCGACAGCATTTGGGTCAGTCAGTCTGTTGCTCTGCCGACTAGCTGGCTACCAATTAGCAGCTCCGCTAGCCAGGCGCACAACATTAAATAGGTTACATGTGGACACGACATCGAGCGACCAGGTCCTGTGACCCAAGTTTCTCTGCATATCTGATCAGAGATAGGAAACTTGTCGTTCTTCCATGCAGACCAGAGCAGTGTCAGCTTTAGCTAACATGCTGTTATTGACACAGTCGGCTCTTGACAGTGTGACTCATGTAAACTTAAGTAGGACAAGTGAGCACAGGTTCACTTTATGAATACGAATATGCTGTATATGTAATGAAATATATCACTAACACATTGTTGTATGTGCCTTTGCCTATAATGCTGAATACAGACACTTGTTGACAGTAATTCTATGTAACAACAGCTGCCCCTTGTTTCCTCAGAATAAACGGTGTTTTTTTTTTCAGGGAGAATCCAGAAAGAACATTTGATCTGGTTGTACAGGTGGCATGTCCAGCATCTGAAAATGAGGGTAGGTGATGTATCTGTATCTGTCTGTAAATATCTTGGTGTAGAAAGTTGAAATGATTAGTCAATTAATAGACATTTTTTGTTTAAAAAAAAAAAAATCAAATTTCATTGGTTCAGGCTTGTCATATATTCATATTTGCTGCTTCACTCTGTTGTATGTTAATGTAAATAGAATATCTCTGGTTGTACATTTCAGAAGATGTTGCCTTGGGCTCTGGGTAATTTTGATGGGCTTTTCCCCAATTGATAGTCAGTAAACACTGAAAATGATAAATCAAGACAGTAATTGGTAGATTAGGTGACAGTGAATATAATCATTAGGTGTACTCCTAAACAGAGCACGTTCATTGTAAATGATTATTACATATATGTTACACTTAGCCTATCAGTGCTTAAGTGAGTAGCCAATGGACATTAATTGTCCAGCAATTTACAGTTACCAGTTATTTATTTTTCCAGCCATTTATCCAACAGCCAGACATTCTAGCATCTCAAAAGTGAAGACTTGAAGCTTGTCTCAGTTTCATATCGCTGTAAATTTAATATATAAGGGTTATGGCTGTTGGATATGAAAACGGTACATGGGAAGGTGTCACCTTGTTGTCTGGGAATTTTTGATGCACATTTTTCACAAGCGTCTTACATAGTATAACCAAAACAATAGATTGATTTATAAAAAAAAAATTGGCAACAGAGTAACAATGACCTATTGCAATCTGTCTTGATAAAGATTTTTAAGTGTTTGCCAGTTGTATCTTTTTCTACGCCATTTGTTTGCTAAAAGAATGACTGTTTGTAGTATAATTACAGTAATTGTAAGGCTTTACAGCCAAGATGCCATGTAATGTGGCAGCTGTGTTTACCGAATGCACTTGCATAGTATTTTAAGTCAGACAGTGAGCATCACAGAACTACACTGCATGACTGAGTCTAGTCCTGCACAATGAGAGCAATCATTATGTCTGTAGTGTCATTATATGTGCTCCAGAGTTTCCTCTATCAAGATCCAAAAGACAAAAGAGAAGTCAACAGTGAGTTCAGCTATAGAATGGCAATGTCAGAAATGTTAGCTGCTTTTAGATCTGTATTAGCATTTTGCATTCCCTATTTATTTGACTGATTGTCCAATTCTGTACTATTCTTTTATTAACCCTGACCCAAAGTTCACCATTGTGGGCTTTTCTTCTGTGACCATGACCCCACAAAGGTTGTTTTAGAGAGATCACGCTTGGGTCAGCAAGCTGCATTAACTGTTCTGCTGTTTGCAGTGGTCAAACATTCCAGCAGTGGTGGTCGGGACAAAAAGTGGTCAGACTAGCCTGGGAAATGACTGTGGCCACTGAAGAACAACATATATTCTACCTTTATGAATATGGGAATTAAAGTAACCTATATTTCACATCAGTATCCAGTGTCACCCAGAAGTCAAATATCATGTAAAAACATTTTCACTGCATATTACACCAGCTGTCTTATTTTGCCCACTGAGTTTTGACATTAAAGAGGTGCTATGTGGACGGTTCACTTGTGCAGCTGCTGAGCTGACCAGAGTAGACTGAACATTGTCCTTGGATGTAGTTCTGATATTAGATTTTAAACCAAACTCATAAACCACCAGCCTGTGCTGTAATAACTGACTTCCCCCATGTATGATCCAGGGTCAGACTCATATCCGGACTCCTTCTCCCTGGAGCACAGCTACAGAGCAACGTTTGCACACCCCTCAGGTCAAATGGAACATGAGCATTCTGCTCAGTCATTTGACTGAAGTGCTCTCTTTGCTCCGTGCTGAGTCCTGATTGGATAGAAGAACATCCCTGTTGAGGAAGTTGTTATGATGTAGATGTATATCTGCCAGTGGGGGCTTATGGTTGTGGTGGCTTGTTTTCTAAAGGAGCAGTTTCAGATACCCATATGAGGAATGAATCACTTCTCTCCGAATCTGATCAATTTCCCTTTCTTTGACTTGGCTTTAGCTGAAGTCTGTATGAAATGAAATGCTTCTTGAATAGTTACCCTGTGCTGAATAGACTCTTGGGGCCTGACTGGATAGATTTTGCACAAATATTATTTATGTAGACGTGTCAAACTGTAAAATATGACCTAACCCATAGTTCTGTTTGCATTTGCCTCAATGTCATGGCACATACTTTTATTAAGAGCTGAAAGGGTTAATACTGTGAGTCATAACAGACAGCCTTTGGACATGCTGTGAAACCTCTACAGTCACTCACCACAAACTAGAGCTGTTTCTCCTACAGCCAAACATTGGGTACTTTGCCAAAAAAGCACCACTTCACATTCATACACAATCATCCCACTACCTCACAGAGGCAAAGAAACAATAGTGCAACATTGATAGACTATAATTAAATTGTCATAGCAACATTGTGTAGAACATTTGAGCATTTGGAGAAGTGGTGGAAGGTTTCAGCTTGCTCATATTTCTCATATCTCCCCCTCACAGTTTAGGGAATACAAGTTTAATTTTAGATTGATTTTGGCTGAATTTCAGTTTCTGTGTACTCCCTCTACCAGCCATTGGGTTTATTGTGCAGTGCTTTAAAGTGAGTGAAAGGGTGTCCTCTTTGAGTGACTGGAAAGCTTGGTGTGTGCAGGGTTTTGCTGATGCTGCACCTGCGTGTTTTGCCACTCTTACCACATCCTGGTCCTGCAGGTCTGAAACTAGATCCATGTGTGACAGCATGGCATGATACGGCTGTTGTGTGGAGAGTAGTTGTTTGTTAATAGCTGTCATGATCAAACTGCAAAGTTAATAACAAAACTTGTATTGTAGTCAGTTGAAAATAGATGAGCCCTTTTTATAGATGGTCAGTACGCCTTTCCCTCAACTTCCTGTGTTAACTGGGTTTCACACCTTCTTTAGTCAGCGCTGTGTGTGCAGATGACACCCACATGTTTGCAGACAGGGCTGCAATAAGCCTGTTTTTTATTAAGTTGTTTCACCAGTTTTAAACCAGTGGTCTCAGAATAGATTGCTCACTCATTATAAAATTAACATTTTGGGATAGAAACAGTGTAAGGTCTATGAATTAATATTTCTTTATGTGACAGGCTGACAGTTGAGTTCTGAATGAAGTTATTAATACTGATATCAATAGTTAATCAAGAAATAATAACTGAAGGTTTTGAAGGATCAAAAATAATTCAGCTGATAGAAACAGTTTCCATCTGTGGGGGGAATTTCAGTGGCTGGACTTATGCTTACTTTCCATATAGGTGGTGTGACAACAGGAACAACACGGTGAAAGGTGTTGCTTACCTTGACTTCACCCAAACTCAGACATGCAGCTTTTCATCTAACCAGTTAATTGTGGCTGCCCTCCCCTTACCAAGCCTCCCCTGCCGTATTACCCCCTGCAATGCTGATAGCTAGATTTGTTGACTTACACTAAGCAGCATTCAACCCATCCCTGACCATGTGCATATTTTAAAATAAGAACCAATTGACTACCGTTAGATAAGGGAAATTTCTATTTAATATATTGAGTACAGCTTATTCTGTGTGAATATTGTGTGGCCATTAATTATTGAAAAATGAGCAGCAGAGTGGAAGTGAAAGTTTTGAGTGACAGCATTAATGTTTTTTTTCATACTGATAATTCAAATATTTAACTTGTCTTTATTCAAGCATATAGCAAAATTGTGCTGCAAAAGAAGCTAATATCATGTCAATGGAATGTCAGCATAACATTTTGTGTTTTATAAGCCTCTAATGATTAATCTGTTTTTATTGATAATGAATGATAATTTTTATTGTGGACAACAAAACTGTCACATTTATAGAAGAATTGTTGAAGTTAGTCCAAAGGTAGCATTTACCAATACAGTACATTTTGTCTCTCAGTATTTCAGGTAATAAAAACCTGACAATGGACCTTTCTAAGATCAATGCCACTAAAATAAACCAGTCTATCTGGTCTAGGGTCTGTGATTTTGAGCCACCATGACCGTTCGTGCTGAAAATAAGAGCACAAAAGTCCATGACATCACAGATTTGATCATAATACAATAGGTTTTGTATTATAGTGAAGATTTTTTTTGGGTTGTTGGAGTAGTGGTCTCCTGGTAGCAAAAATTTATCAGTAATTGAGATTTGATGAGTGCATCAACATTCCATAACTGAAGTGTTGCTGGGGGGGGGGCAAGAAAATAAAGCTCACAGCTACAATGGTGGCAGTGTTTATATCTGGACTTCGCCCCACACTTCTAACCATGGATGTGTGGATAGATGACAGACACTGGCCCTTTTTCCTCATGCAGGTCCACGGAGACCTGGCCTCCCTGCTCAGCCCGAGCTCAGTTCCGCTTAGCTCTGTTGGCTCAGTGCTCTGTGGATGCTCAGGCTGTGAGCGAGCATTGCCTGAGAGCGTGACTGGCATGCTAGCTACTAGCGGCCCTGGCTACATAAAGCCATATTGATGTGCTTCCAAGATGCTGCCACAGCTAGCAGATGACGCTAACGCTGCCAAGGCAGTAGGTGGGGACAGATGCTACCTGTCCTCGCCTGCTCCCTCCAGCCAGATTGTTCCCAGTAACAAAGCAATAAACTTAATAGATCAGCATATCAATTTTACCGCAACATTCATGCTGCAATTAGGGGAACGATTTACTGTTTCAAAAAAAACAAAAAAACAAAAAAACACCTCAATGAGGGAAGCTTGGTTAACAGTGATGCCTCACTGGAGTTTGAAACCAAGCCCCGGTTCTTCTCTGTGTGGTTTGCCTTGCATGCTGTTTCTCACGCTTGACTTTTCTTTTTCTGTGTTCCTCCCACAGCTCAGACATGCAGGTCAGATGAATTGGGAGCTCTTCATTGTCCTTCTGTATGAGTGAATATGAATGTTTTTCTGTGCCTTGGGATAGACTGACATTCTGCTCAGGGTGTTTCCCTGCTTTTCACCCCCCCATGCGTACTGGCATAGGCCCCAGCCCCTCATAACACCAAATAGGAATAACCAGTTATGGAGTCAAGTCAAG